GATATTGTAGTGCATATATAAATAAATATTCCCCATGTCTCTGAATTAACATAAAATAATTATTATATTTATATTATATTAATAATATAAAATACAATTTAAATATATACTTTTGTGTATATAGGCATATGTGATAAATTGATTTTTAAAAGTGCAACTATCTCTAACATTAAATTTACCATATTAATAATTCAATAAATATGTTACAGGGCAGACTCACCAACGAGGCCAGAGTACGACAGCAAGCAGTCAGCGTAGTTCTCCTTCAGACAGCCAGAGAGAGAGCGGGGCTCAGGTTGACAGTTAGTGAAGAAATCTGCCAGACGAGACCTAAAACACCACACACACACTTTATATTACATAATTCTCACCTTTTCCTGACATCACTTTATAATTAAATAGAGTTTATTATAAATGAAAGAAAACATATGTTGCCAAATCTGTGTTTTTAAAGCAAACTGCACACGCAGTTCTTGGCTGTTAAAAGTGTTGGATGACTCTCCGCAGCAGTCTGTCGCAGTGTTAAGGATGGAGAAGAAATGTGTAAATGAATGTGATGTGCCGTGTCTCCTAAAACACATGGTGTGGGACTAGTGTGGGGTTTCTGCACAACTTGGCTGTTAAAAGTGTTGGATGGCTCTCTGTAGTCTGTCGCAGTGTTAAGGATGGAGAAGAAATGTGTAAATGAATGTGATGTGCCGTGTCTCCTAAAACACATGGTGTGGGACTAGTGTGGGGTTTCTGCACAACTACACCAAACACCTTGCTACAGCTAGGGGCTACACCTGGCTTCAAAATGGTCATGGGTACAAGAGCAGGATGGATACAGAAAGAAGGACAAATAATGAGGAAAAAATGACTGGAATGGAGCATATGAACTGTACAGACCTGGAGCGCAAGTGCAAATATATTCCATTTATTTGTATGAGTGTCTGAGTTTGCCCCCAGAATGCCGAGCGGCAGCTCTTCTGATTGAGCAGGGTCATTAGCTGTCGCTCTCTCTGTGCTCAAAGATGTTTACTTGGCAAAACTACATCCACGTTGTGCTAATGAATCCTTAACAAGCCATTTAGTGGACTCTGAGGTTACCTCCTTCCCGCACAAACCAGATTTAAGGCTGCAGTTTTTATTGCTAGACTTCAATAATCACCACAATTGTCCTCACGATGTGTTCTCCTGCCTTACCTTAATAAACGCTTTATTTCCCAGTAGATGCAGCTTAGCTGCTCATGGCCATGTCTGTCCCTATTGGTGAATACGTGTTATTCTTAACACCTCTAAATAGCTCATTTTGCACTGCCATGTGTTAATGCACACAAGATAAGTGTTGCCATGAAGTGTGGATGTATTTGCATGTAAGTGTGTGTATAAGAAGAGAGAGAAGCACAGCCAACTTTTCTTAACTTTGTGTATGTACTTTATTTACTCGCTTTACTACTATCTCTCAGATTCAGTGAGGCATTTCTTAACACCTCTAAATAGCTCATTTTGCACTGCCATGTGTTAATGCACACGAGATAAGTGTTGCCATGAAGTGTGGATGTATTTGCATGTAAGTGTGTGTATAAGAAGAGAGAGAAGCACAGCCAACTTTTCTTAACTTTGTGTATGTACTTTATTTACTCGCTTTACTACTATATAATGGAGTCTCAAAGTTCAAGACCACTATTGAAATGCTTCTGTTTTTTATATTAATTATATTATATTATATTATATTAATCTTTTTTTTTATTTATTTTTTTTACAAGAAGTCTCTTATGATATGAAAAATTAAGATTAAGTTAAGTAATTAGAATGTGTTTATTATTAGATCTAAAAGTAATATAAAAATGAGAAATTATTATAATAATAACATTTTAAATTGTCTTTTTTAAACCAGTTCTTAATTATATTAGTTTATTTATTAAGTAAAATATATAATATTAATATAATATATTAATATTATTTTTATTATAACATGGTATAATAGAATATTAAAATATAATATTTTATAGTTTATTATTTTATAACAATTTAAGTAAACTTTGAATCAAAATATATGAAAAAGTAGTTTAGAATATATTTATTATTAGGGTTATTTGTTATTATTTAGGGTCAAATCATTAATTTAATATTATTAGATTTTTTGGTGACAACTTTACAATAGAGTCCCATTAGTTAACGTTAGTTAATTCATTAACAATGAGCAATATATTTGTTACTGCTTTTATTAAGTTGGCTTAAGAAATACTTACTTACTTTTGTGCTATTTAAACTACTTCTTCTGAGACTAAAATTTCTGACTCTTACTCCTCCTACAGCTTTAACTCTACAACCACCAAACTCCCAGATCTTCAGACTGTTCTGATTTATGACTGGAATTCACTACACGACTTTTAATATGTGAGCAGATTTTAAAATGCTGGACATCATACACTTACTGACTTTGTAAACAGTCACAAAGGAAAAACTGGCCATCATATACAAAACGACTGAGGATCATACACTACCAGACTATAAAGTCTGATCATCACAACAAATCAGATCACAACAAACTCACGCAGAAAGATGCGCCCAGTGTTGCCAGATCAGATGAACGATTTCTAGCCAAAAAGCTCACCAAAACCTGCCAAATCCAACAAAAAACTGCCCAAAATTGTAACTGTCATAATTAGGGCTGCCCCCTAACTGTCGACTAACCTTTAGTTGCCAAGAAGAGGCTTGGTCGACCAAAATTTTATTAGTCGCTTAGTCGCAGAAAAAAAAAATCCACAGGTCACAGAAAACACTAGTTTATCAATAAATTATTAAAATGTTAATGCAGTTTATAGGTGGGGTAAGCGATTTCTGGTAGCCAATGTTGACATTTGAAATCACCAAAACAAACAAGCCCCTACCCCAAAAGGGTCTTGCCCCTAACACAGGCGGTTTATAAGAAACCTGCTTTTTGTTTTGGGTTGTTTTTTATGTTAAACGAAACAGGGCTAATTGCTGGCTTTCTAACACATTACACAATTAACTAACATTTCTGGAGACTTGCTGAGCTACAGCAGCAGTTTGGCCTATAATGAGAGCCAATTAAAAACAAGAGATGGGTTGCATTAGAGTGAGGGTGGAGCATACATATGCATGTGTTTTTCTGTGTGCGTGTGTGTATGTGTGTTTAAAGACAGCGCTAATAAGATGGTTGTTTTTAAGGAAGCCTGAGAGGAAACTGTATCCTCAGAGCCTCTAGCAGTGGGAGGTGATGTCATTCGGATATGTAAGTCAAGTTGGATCAGACTAAGGCTAAAAACAGGTGTATGAAACACCTTGAGCGGCCTTTCCACTATCTCTGACATTTGTGTAATATTGTTGCATTTCGCTGGCTAGTGGCTGTTAGATGAGAGTTTGAAATTGCTTGTGAAGCAGCAGTTTTCCTCCACTAGGTAAAATGACCGAATAATGAATTTATGAATATATCCCCTCAAAGTCAATGACCGCCAATATGTCTGAAAGAGAAACATAGTAGGTTTTCTCGTGCTAATCACATAATTATTCATAACAACCCACTTTACAGAAATAATAATTATTAATTCCTTGTGTTCATAGTTTTTATTATAATACATCACATTGGGTTGGGCAGTTGCATACAGTCTAGCTGCAAAAATTCTAATATTCCGCACCCAAAGTTTAAATTGGTTCCAAAAATTCTGCATACGCATATGACTGGAACTCCTCGCAGATCCTGTAGTGCTCTCTATTAGAAATGAATGACTTCATGAAATTAATTAAAAATAAAGGTAAAGAACAAAGACAGAAAAACAAAGAGTCTGATACAATCCACAGCTCTGAAACCCTTGCTCCACAAAAAATATTTTATTTGAATACCCTACAGCACTGTGACAGGCATGTCAATTAATCATCCCTGTTTCTGCAGGTCTGCCAAAACACACAGGCGGTTTATAAGAAACCTGCTTTTTGTTTTGGGTTGTTTTTTATGTTAAACGAAACAGGGCTAATTGCTGGCTTTCTAACACATTACACAATTAACTAACATTTCTGGAGACTTGCTGAGCTACAGCAGCAGTTTGGCCTATAATGAGAGCCAATTAAAAACAAGAGATGGGTTGCATTAGAGTGAGGGTGGAGCATACATATGCATGTGTTTTTCTGTGTGCGTGTGTGTATGTGTGTTTAAAGACAGCGCTAATAAGATGGTTGTTTTTAAGGAAGCCTGAGAGGAAACTGTATCCTCAGAGCCTCTAGCAGTGGGAGGTGATGTCATTCGGATATGTAAGTCAAGTTGGATCAGACTAAGGCTAAAAACAGGTGTATGAAACACCTTGAGCGGCCTTTCCACTATCTCTGACATTTGTGTAATATTGTTGCATTTCGCTGGCTAGTGGCTGTTAGATGAGAGTTTGAAATTGCTTGTGAAGCAGCAGTTTTCCTCCACTAGGTAAAATGACCGAATAATGAATTTATGAATATATCCCCTCAAAGTCAATGACCGCCAATATGTCTGAAAGAGAAACATAGTAGGTTTTCTCGTGCTAATCACATAATTATTCATAACAACCCACTTTACAGAAATAATAATTATTAATTCCTTGTGTTCATAGTTTTTATTATAATACATCACATTGGGTTGGGCAGTTGCATACAGTCTAGCTGCAAAAATTCTAATATTCCGCACCCAAAGTTTAAATTGGTTCCAAAAATTCTGCATACGCATATGACTGGAACTCCTCGCAGATCCTGTAGTGCTCTCTATTAGAAATGAATGACTTCAGGACTGTCGTTTGTCATACAGTGAAAAGAAGGCTAGAAGTTGTCATGAAATCAACCCTATTTACTTCCATAATGTATTTGTGCTCAATTCAAAGCAAAATGTCTTTTAACAAAACATATAAAAACTTCTGCTTTAGAAATGGCTCAGCTATTATCACAAATCCATTTAACTTTTTTAATCCTTCCTGTTGTGGTACATAGCTTTTCAATGCAGTGCGTTACTGTACTCAGAACAACTGAGATCAGTGCTCAGTGATGACTGTATCTCTACCAAGTAAATGTCAGTTTGTGCTGAAGACAGTAGCAGATACTGTACACTACCATTCAAAAGTTTGGGGTCAGTAACATTTTATTAGAATAAAAATAAATTAATTTTACATTAATACTTACATTCATCAAAGAAAAAAAAAAGTATCAAGATTTCCACAAAAATATTAGGCAGCTGAAGTTTTCAGCATTGAAAGTAAGAAATATTTCTTGGTACAAAAATCAGCTTATTAGAATAATTCAGCTTTTCCATCACAGCAATAAATTACATTTAAAAATAGATTAAAGTAGAAAAAAAAGTTTTTTTAAATTGCAAA